TTAAATAATCTAGCACCAATAGCTCAAAAAGTTTTGAGACTGCACATAAAGCAGCGATACCACGGTAGTTGGACACCGACTACTTATTGCCTTTTTTGAAGACAGGGAAAACAAAAGAATCCTTCTAGCAGTCGGGAAAGCCACAAAACCGTTTCTTGCCGTGTTTGCCGTGCTAGATAATAGCTTCGGCTTGCTATAACTTGACTGGACAGTTCGTTATATGTGTGCTCGTAGGACGATCTACTTGACTTTTATTTTCATTCTAAAACTATCGTGGTTTTGTTATTAAGATCATCCGGAAAAAAAAACACTGTTCATCCTCATCAGTTCTTACATTAGAAATGAAAGTGACGTCAACAATGTGGGTATGTATGAACGCCGAACCTTTGTATATCAAGGTTCATCCTCGATAGGACGAAGTTGCATCCTATAATAGACCCAATTTGAGTATAGTAGACCGACATTACATCGACGTACCTGGAAAGCTTTCATGTTAAAATGATAAGTTTTACCATTTTCAGCGTGCCTAATTAATATCCAAATAAAAAAATCTAAACTTGCATGTAGACAGTGAAATATCGACAGCAGTTCAATTATTACATAATATGCGGCATAAAATGTAATTGTAGGCTTCTTATTAGACCAAGTTTTGGGACATATACCCTATTAGAGAATTTTAGGAAAACTGCAGAACATTTATGGACGATATGTGAAATGAAGGGAACTCTAGAAAAAAAATTAGGAAAGTTCCGAGCTATTTAGATTGATTACGAATACAGTGATGTTCCATGATCTTTGAAAAATACCCGAAGTGTTCAGAGAGCTTTCAAAAATTTCAGGAAAGTTTCGAGAACTACAGGAAAGTTCCAAGAACTTCAGTTTTGTTCTATGAACTTCAGGAAATGTTCGAGAACTTAGATGAAGTTTATAGAACTTCACTTCAAGACCTTCAAGAAACTTCAGGAATCATCAGGTGAGTTCAAAGATCTCTAGAAAAGTTCAGAGAGCTTTGTGAAAATTCTGAGGAAAATTTAGAGAACTGCAGGTCCGTTCGATTTATCTCATAATAATTGCAGGAACTTTACAGATGTTCCATGAACCAAGTCCAGAAAACTTTAAACAAGTTAAGAAGCCCATGAACGTCAGAAAAATGATCGGAGATGAACTTGCCTGTGGCTAAAAATCTCTTTAATAAAGATTTAAAGAAACCGTCAGCAAAATTGCGGGCACTTAAATGAAGTTCCAAAATGTTATGGAAAATGTTGAAAACTTTATGTTGGTTCCATTAACATAACAAAAATTTCGAGCACCTTCAGGAAGATCTGAGAGTTTCATGGAAATTCCAAGAATTTTAAGGAACTTTTGAAAACTCCGGTAGGTAGGTAGGTTGCGTTAGCTTCAGGTCAATTTAATGAATTTCAGGAAAGATTCGAGAACTTCAGTGAAGATCCAAAAGCTTCAGAGCGATGACATTCAATTCAGGAAAAATGCAGGAACTTCAGGAGCTCCCGTTGTAAAAACATAAAATCCCTTTAAAGTTCATAAGGGAAGTTACGGCAGTTCTGAAAACTCAGGGCAGTTTCAAGATCATCATGAAAATCATGGAAACTTCAGGAAAGCTCTGAGAGCTTCAAGTAAATTCTGAGTACTTTAGAGCAATTCCATTAAAGTCAGGAAAATAACGAGAACCTTCAAGAAAATTTAAAATTACAAGGGATAGCCCTATGGGGTTGTACGCAATATTGACGTAGGGCTACGTAATCTTATATATTAAATATTATTTGTTAACTGCAGCAGGAGCTTGTTATTTGTGTTGGAATAGGAATTTTAGCGGGGTTCTCTCTGTTTATACTCTTTAGTATGACATGCTTGACATAAATGGCCCACAGCGACTTACGAAGAGCTACTGATTCCGATCAATAGCGGTGCGGCTTCTTCCTCCTTCAATTGATGCTCATGTGGGCTGCAGCTCGCTGCTTGCAAGCAGCCTTTCGTTGTGTTCTCACACCTCCACTCACCCCGCGGTGATTGAATAAACACCGTTTGGTGATACCGGATGGAATTCAACTTTGAAATCTGTGTTAGGGAAATCGCTTTTCGCAGGCAATCGGCAATGCTTTTAGTTATCATAGCAACAGTTGCACATTCGTGCAATTTTCAATAGTGACATTTTGAAAAATGATAATGTCTTAAATTTAACTGATGCGTAGAAATATTTCTGATCGATTGGTGATAAAACTTTTGAAATTGGTTCAGGGGCAGCTAAGCTATTAACGTTTAAAATCTTTCATAATGTTGTTACATATTCCATTTTCGATTTTCACAAAGTGTATTCCCAAATAGAAATCACAGGCGTAGTCCTACGTCAAAAAAAATCAAGTTCGCATAATCACGTTAGTTTTTCAAAGCCGATAATTCATTGTTCATTGTTTGTAACTAGATTCACTTAATTCTATGTCTAGTAGGAGTTGGGCCGAATACTCGCGGCTTATTCAAGGTTAGAGGGGTACATTGTCGAAGGATAGGATCTAGGAACTAAGAAAGAGAGACAAAAGACTAAGGAATTAAATTCTTATACTAGACATTTGCTGAAACATATAAATCGACTGCATATAGCAGAGAGATCAATCATTTATGAGAGTGTAGAGAAAACCAGAAAAATGACGGAAACTTCACAGAAAGAAAGAAAATCACAGTACTGCGGAAAACGTCACGAAGGTTAAGGTCTTTAAGGCAGTTTTATTAATTTCAGGGCTAATCCAGGATCATCTCCAGAAGAGTTGCAAACTTCAGGGCAGTCAACAAAATTGCAGGAGCTTTGAAAAAATACCGAGAATTTTTATGAAGCTTAATGAACAAGCTGGTTAGGAAGCTTATGTTAAATTTCGGACACTTCAGGGAAGCTACGAGAACTTCAAGGTGGTTCGATCATTAGCTGTAGGAACTTATAAAAAGTTCCTTGAACTTCAGGTATATCCAGAGAGCTATAGGAAAGTCAAGAAAACTTCAGAGAACTTGAGGGAAGTTGTGGATACTTTAATGAAGTTCCAAGAACCCCAGGGAAGATAGGTATAGACGTTATTAGGAGAGGTGAGAAATCTTAGGGGTGTCACAATAACTCCAGGGATGTCCAGAGTTTCCGGCCAGTTTAAAGATCTGTGAATGTTCGATCGTACCATCGGCACCAGGCTTATGTGTTAAGAAGGTTCAAGAATGTCAGGGAAGTCCAGGGAACTCCTGAAAACTCTAGACATATTTTGAGAATTTCATAGAAGTTCAGAAATGTTCAGGGAAGTTTAAAGATTTTTGAGACAGTTCCATTTATTTTAGGGCAGCACCAAGAACTTCAGGAAGGCTTCGAGAACCTCAAAGCAGTTCACTTAACTTTACAAAAGTTCCAAGAAATTCAGGGAATTTTTGAAAACTTCAGCAAACTTTCGACATCTTCACGGAATATCAGAGAACTTTAGATAAGTTTGAAGATGTTTAATTAGTTTTGTTCTTTTCTTGTACCTTCCAAATAAGTCGAGGAATATCAGAGATTAATTAGATTAATGAAACAATTAATTTCAGCAACTTTCAAGAAGTTCCGAGAAATTATGAAATATATCGAGAATTTAAGGAATGTTCTGTAAATATACATGAATATCCAGAAAATTGTTGGAACGCTGGAAAAGCTCCGAGAACTACTTGAACAATGTGGAAACGTAAATGCAAATTGGAGAACTTCTTGAAAATTTTTAAAACTTCAGGGAAGTTTATAGATTTAAAAGGAAGTTCCATGAACTTCAGGGGAGATCAAAGAACTTCAGGGCAGTTCAATTATCTTCATGCGTCATCTTTAAGAAATCTCTGAGAAATTCAGATCTAGTAAATATTAGTTTAGATCCGAGATATTTAGGGCAGTTCTAATTATTTCAGGGTTGCTTCGAAAACTTCAGAAAAGTTCAGACTTTCGGGGAGTTTGAAGATCTTGAAGAAATAGTTTTTTTTTTTCCTTAACGCATCAACTCATGGACCCGGAACCAGCGGCTTTACTTCCCTTCCAAAAGGAAGACGTGATTAGAGATTGTATGCCTCAGAACATCCCGACCAATATCTGAGAAACCAATATCCGAGAAATTGTATATTTTCAAGTTTTATGACTAGCTGATAGCAGACAAGTTTACTCGTAACCAAGTTTAATTTAGTGAGAGCATTACATTCCGAAATTTAAATTTTGGCGCTCCTTAAAAGGGGGAGCGGTTTTTTTTATATCTTTATTAAGGAGACTTTCAGCCGTTGGCTGGCTCGTCTCCGAACGAGGGGGAGCGGTGCTCACATGAACAATCAGGGAGTTACCAGCTCCAAATTTACCTTGACAGCACTGTAAACAATTATACATTATTTGCAGGTAAATCGATATAATTCAATTTAAGGCCGATTAATAAATGTAAGTTCGATACATCGATAAAAGAAAAGCTTTGAAATGAAATAGCTAATTGTTCTGTTTATAAGTCACTCCGTATCAGTATCACACTCAGTGCTATTCAGTTGTAAATCTGAGGGATCCTGTGCGTGGAGAGGATTAAATTCCAAATGCTTGGAGTTCTGTTTGAGATATTTTAATTTTTCAACTTGGGTCAAATATCCATCTCCACCACTAACGGAATAAACTAAGGCGACCACTTGCATACGATCAAACACATGGCGTCCGTTCAAAAAATTCTCCTCGCTATCACCCATTGCCGCGATCGAACTTCAAAAACACTCCAAATCCTCAATTGAAAACACAAATAAACAATCAACACACTCGGCGTCCGCAGACACCTTCGGATATCATCTCGCCAAATGAAAATGTATGGCTCAACCAACCACATGCCATCCGACCAACCAGTAGTACCAGATCACCACTTTCTCACATAAACAAACTCCAATTCCATAATTGGACCGAGCCGCAGTTGAAATCCAAAGGGTTCCCTCCACATGAAAGCAACGTTCAAACGCATGTTTTACTTTACTTTTTTTAGTTCGCTCATCTTTTTATTACAAACAATATCACATTATAGCATAAACGAATCTAGATTCCCCGCATTGGCCACGAGGCGATGTGGAAAATCTAATTTCGTAGACTTAATGTCTAAATCGTTGAAGCGTTCGAATTTTGTTTAAATAACAGTGTTGACATCGCCTTCCTTCTTGTGGAAGATCACCACATCCTCGAAGAACATGTTCGGCACGTGGAAGTAGGTTTCATCAATCTTGCGGTCAAAGGGATAACCGAATGGCAGCTTGTCGAAGTACCGCGCACCGGATCCGACTCCACAGGACACGACCGGGTCGAAACCAGTATATTGCTGCACCTCTGGAGCGTAGTACGGTGAGATCATGAAGAAGAACTGGAACGGCATACCGCCCTTCTTGCCCTTCGGTAGCATCAGTCTGTTCGGGAAGCCGCAGTGAGCTTCGGACATATCCAGCGGGAACTTTTCATCACCCTTGTAGCCCAGCATGACCTTCTTGTACAGCTCATAGAACGAAGTGCGATCCTTGACGTAACCATTGAAGTTGAGAGAATTACGGGTGATAACATTCTTGCCCGTTACCAAATCGTACATGAAGTAATCCAGCTCGTAGTAATTTTCACGATTTTCGTTCAACAAGTATTGGGATCCGAATTCATCGTACTTAGGTCCGATGAAAACACGAATAACTGATTTGACAGCCTTCTCCGAAGTGACGCTCATTTTGTAGGTGAATGACTTGTGGTTCAAGCGAATGGTACGTGCTTTGATAACCACTGGATCCGGTTTGTATTCAATCTCACCGAATCCATCGTACTTACCCTCAACGTATGCCTCAGGTTCAATGTCAATGGCGTTAGTGATGTCTACATCGAAGCGATCGAAGTATGTTACCAATTTGTCGACAACGACATCGTCGATCTTGACGCCTGGGAAGTACAGCTCTTCGTAGGTGTACGATGGCAGGTGATCCTTAAATTGGTAGTAGTAGTGGATGATGCGTTTGTAGATCTGATAGAACACTGGATCACGCAAAGATGACTCAAAATGTTCCAAGACACTTGGGATAACTTGGTAAGGCTCAACGGGTTCAACGGCAGCACCCATTAGGATACGGGAGAACATGCTCAAGTACTTGTATAAACGGCTATCGTAACTATCGGGGTTGCTCTGGATCAGATTGCCAAGGTAGTCAATGGCTTCCGATGTGGTGAAGTTGATCAACTTACCGTCGGGCATCAGCAGGAATCCACGATCGATCACTTCGCGGATGCGATGTTCGTAATCACCGATAAGCTGAATGTCGTAGTAGTTGGTTTCTTGGTTCACAAAGTAGAAGTTATCACGATTCGGGAAAGTATGTCCGTTGTAGTATTGGAGATCTGGATAGTATCCGGTTTTGATTGGCCAAAACCAAGAGAATTCCGGGATGTGACCAATATCGTTCGATAGGCGTTCCAAATAGTAGCGAGCCAACAGCTGCTGATGCTCGTATAGATACAGCTCACCTCGGCGATCCTTGTACAAACCAAACTCCTTTCCTCCCATCCAGAATGGATAGTCAATGTGGAAATAGTAGTAGTAAGTGTTCAGCCCGATGTCTTCAGTAAAGTACGAAATCTTCTGCTCTGGGTTCGTATGCATATACCATCCGGTGTAGTTGTTTGTAACGACAGCAGTGTAGACATCGCCAACCTTCTTCATGCCGTAATATCCCTGCATCTTGTATTGCTGGGCTTTCTGGATCACCTCCGTGTTGATGAAATAGTACGGGTAGATTTCATACGGAGCGGGTAGTACGAATCCAGCGAAATCCTGACGGTGTGTCACAGCAACGGTCAAGGCGTACACGAACATACCTTCATTGATATAATAGCGGGCCCAGGCGGCGGTCTTGTAGAAAGTGTCCCAGTCCTTTGCATAGTAGAACAAGTGGAACAAGGCGACTGCTTGCTCGCGGTGCACTTCGTTGAACACTGAGAACACCTCACCCTTCGGGAGCATTCCATGGCTGTAGTAAGTCCAAAACTCCTTGGCAGCATTTTCGTTCTGATACAGATGGAAGTTCTTTTCCACCATGAAATTCTTAGCGTAGGCTACCAACTGTGGGTTCCAGTCTTTTTGGTACACATGGCGGAACAACAGAAGCAGATCTTCCTGTTTGTGGAGCCATTCCTTGTCGGCGTATTTAACCTGGTTGGTATTTGGCACGAAGGCAGCGGTTGCAACCGCCAATGTTGCCGCCAATGCAAGAACCGTGAACAACTTCATCGTCGGTACTGATGCTGGATGCTTCTGGAGTGCAGCTTTTATGCTCAACTGTAATCGCAGTTGCAGGTGATAACGCAGTCTTTCAATGTTACGTGATTACCAGCTGATCAGGTGGGTAATCAGAACCAAAATATTCTACATTGCTCGAAGTTGCATCCGATAAGCAAAGGTGAAATAGGTTTCGAGAGATGAACTTTAGCGCGGCGGAACAGATTTCTCTCTACCCACATTTCGTACAATAACAATTTCAATTTGTTGCACAACATGCTGGACAACTTTTTGCATTACTGTCTACGAATAACGTTAGAACATTATTCATATCCAATGACACAACACCTTTCTCCGCCGATGAAAAGAAAAAAACGGCCATTTCCATCCTGGAAAGCCTGGCCACCTCAGCAAATAAACAAATAAACACCAGCAACCAACACATCCATTTTCCAAAGAAAAACGAACTTTTTTCCTGGACAACAAGAAATGACCTTTTCTCCTTCCAAACTCTAAACAACACGTTAAATTATGATTTGCTTCATCTGGTTTTGATACAGCTCAGGGGAAACGAAAGACACAGAAAAAAAAACGAATCCACAAACATGCAGTTTGGAAGTGGCGGTACACGCGGGAGCGTAAAAAAACCGCCGCATGACTCTTAACAAGCGGACCACAAAATTTCAATGTAAACAACAGATAAATCAAACTCGGCGATCGTTTATTTATGCACATCTTGAGAATCGATTTTTTCTTCTGGGCGCTGGTGCTCTTGCGGCCTCGATTCATTCACAAGGCTGTTTTCGCCTAGAGGTATCGGATTTGCTCTGTGCTACTGCTCGGTAGATTACAATCGCTTTTGGATAGGTTTCATATGGTTGTTGTAGGTTTATGTTTTTGCCCAAAATTAAGTGAAACTCATAGTTCAGCATGGATGAAATTTCGCAAAGTTGTTTCCAACGTTAGGCTTTTCCGGGAGTGGCTGATAATTTGTGAAGGGCTATGCATAGTGGATCCGATTACGTTGCGTCGACGTAATTTTTACTTGGGTTACTGTAAAATTTTCGCAAACGCAACGCAACCTAATCCATTGTGCGTGGCCTTGAAAGTCTCCCAGAAATTTCCAGATTTCTTAAAACTTGATAAAACCTAATCTCCATAGAAACATTGGACATAATTACATTATAACTATTCTCACGATTCGTATCAGCATTCTCCTTAAGTTTCATCTTAAGAATTTTCTATGATTTCTCTTCCGAATTCCAACTATTTCCTTTCTTGACAAGATCTCCATGAAATTGTCATTAGAGTTTGCAAAATACAATTTATACCGTCTTCACTTCAATCAAAGGTTGCACTGACTGCATACTTATACTTCACTGTAAACTATTTTCAGAATTACCTTAAAATTCTGAAATCTAGGGCAATTCAGAATTCTAAAGTATTGCAGACTGCTAAGGTAACTCAATATTCACAGGTACTTTAAACCCCTATTTAGAAATCTAATTAATTATCCTCAAATATATCATGAACTTACTTCAAAGTCCTGGTGGTTGTCTAAATTCAAAAGCCTTGCTAATTTTCCAAAGCTCAATTTATTGTTTTCAGGCCTGAACAATTTTCGATTTCTCAAAATTCTAAAATTAGCGAAATTCCTATATTCCTATGTTCCTAATATTGATTTTAATAAATTCAGGCCCCAAAAAAAATAATTACAGTCAAAATCTAAACAAAAACTCAAAATAAAAATAAAATCCTGGCTCGATATTTTTAAAAAAAAATAAGATTTTTGACAGCCAACAATGTTTAGAAAATGTCTCAATTTTCATGATTCTGCAACCCATTGCAAACATGTTGTAACAATTTCATGTATGATGTTGAAATAATGTCCAACGTTGATGGCCTTTAGTAATTAAAGTAGTAAGTTTGGCTTTTTATTTTTTAATAAGAGGGTCCATTAATTGCAGAGATATTTATAAAGCAACACATTATGAAAATCTGGGAAAATCTGGAGCATATTTAAAAAATCTGGATATAAACGTGATCTGACTGTGTATCTGGCAAGACGACTGAAAATCTGTAAAATCCAGATAAATCTGGAATACTGGCAACACTGCTTGAGAGTGTGAAAGAGACAAGCCAATGATGAGAGGCTTACCCAAGAAACCAACAAGCCCGCTTATTCGCCTCGGAAGGACTGTATCAAAAATAAGCTGTAAACCAAATTTGCATTGCTAATCCAATTATGTATGTCATGTCTGTCATACAGGACTGGTAGTGGGTATGTGATATAATAAGAGTGACTGTTGTGACCGAAATAACGGAAATAGTTACCAAATAGTGACATTAAAAAATTAAAAAAGTGACTAATAATGACATTTATTGATCGAAAAAAAAGGTTCCAATGTATCGTTGATTGCGATCCATTTCAAGATATTTTATAAACTCACAATTACAACTCATCATTAGCATTTTTCATGCTCCTTTAAAATAAATCAAATGGACTAAGGATTGTTGAAGATCGTAGTAAACAGAAGTGGCTACCGTAGTATCAACCGGTGGAAACTAATGATTTTAATTTGGCTCACTACTTGACTAGCCTATTGGTCCCAAGTACATCTATAAGCGTACCCCATTCTCGTTGAAATCCTAGTACTACACTATGTTTGTTTTGATTCGCTATGAAAGTTTGACCGATAAAATGAGGGGTAAGTAACGAAGTAACGTGCTCAACTTTTTGGCTCAGCTCTGGTATTATCTTCGGTCCCAAGCTAATCGATTCACCCCTCGAAACATAAGAAAATCCAATAACCCCTCATTTTATCTGCCAAACTTTCATAGCGAATCAAAACAAACATTGTGTAGTACTAGAATTTTGACTAGAATGGGATACGTTAATCGATTTGCTTGGGACCAATAGGCTAGTCAAGTAGTGAGCCAATTTAAAATCGTTAGTTTCGTATTGATTGTTGGTACTATCATAGAGGTAACTCTAAGACCACTGGGTCCCGAAGAAAATCATTATTATTTTTGGCTCACTCAGTACCAGAACAACGGTCCCAAGCAGTCCCAAGCTATTTCACTCACCCCTGCATGTTCTGCATGAATCCACACACCCCTGATGTTATCTGTCAAACTTTCATAGCGAATCAAAACAAACATAGTGTAGTAATAGAATTTCAACTAGAATAGGGTACGTTAATCGTTTGCTTGGGACCAATAGGCTACTAAAGTGGTGAGCCAATTTAAAATCGTTAGTTTCGTATTGATTGTTGGTACTATTTCGTTTGTTATAAGATATCAACGATGAACGTACCCCATTCTATTCGAAATTCTAGTACTACACTGTGTTTGTTTTGATTCGCTATGAAAGTTTGACAGATAAAATAAGGAGTTCGTGGATTTTCCTATGTTTCGAGGGGTGCATCGATTAGCTTGGGACCGAAGACACAGAGAACAGACATCCAAGTCAAATTCCTAAAGTGTGTAAGAAATTTAACTGCTATTTTGAATAGACATTTGAAACTAGCAATATCGTGGTGGCGCTAGTGTCACTGCCCATCGACGTCGATGACCGGCAGACGTCATCTTAACATAAATCTAGATAGAGCTGGAATTAGGGCATCGAGAGCAGTCATTGTTTACAAAAGCTGTTACGCCCTAATTCCAGCTCTATCTAGAAATGTCAAAATTGTTGTGAGCAAAACATTGTTTGTTTAAAACCGATCAAAACATGGGCCGCAAGTGCGAGTTTCATTGGTGTTACCAAGCGAAAATCTTTTCACAATTTTCCTAAGGATGCTAAATTGCCCGAACTACAGGAGATTTTCTTTTCACGAGGAGTCCAAGCGCTTGCAACGAAAAATTTATGTTCTGACCACTTCCCCCGGAGGCTTTTCAAATTCCTGGATAGCAGTGTTCAAATCTTACCACATTTTTCTGAATTTAAATGAGGATTAATTAGAGTTCACATCCTCACTGAATCATTTGAAGGTACACCGCCAGCGAACTAAAAAAAGTCAGTTTTGCTCCTGACTACTATGCCCAGTTAATATTGTAACGAATAACGATTGTAGCTCTACAGGAAACTGTAAAAGATCTTAGTTTTTTATTTGAAAATAATGGTTCCGCAGAAACTCGATTGATTTCCGTTGTTTTGTCTTGTTTGTTTTGAACTGATTTGACAGTTCATTTGGATACACGGTCAATAATATCAACCCAAATTTTAGTTCAATTAATTCATTAATCGCAAAAAGTGATAACTCGAGTCGCAACATTCCGTATGGCAGCGCTAGTGTTTCTAACGTATTTTAATTTGAATTCTTACACATAATTTTTCGAAAAATTTGTTTAAGCTTGCATGTCTGTTCTCTGTGCCGAAGATAGTACCAGAGCTGAGGCTAAAATTTGAGCACGTTTCTTCGGGACCTTCTGGTCTTAGAGTTGCCTCTATGGCTTAACCGTTTTCACTTTAATTAATGAATACTCAAGTATATCCGTTGATTTGGGAATACAAAATAACCTGTAATCATTTATTTTTCTTCAGTGGCAGTTAACATAGAAGAAAAGAATATTTTTCGACAACGGTAGTAAAACTCTGGGTTCTTCAATTTAACGCGACAATATGCCTCATTTATTAACTAACATGCTCCCTCAACAAAGAGATTGTATGATTTATTTTGAACGGATAATACATCCCTCACCAAACTTGTGACATGCCGCAGAGCATTAATTGAGCAATTTAGATAGTCAAGTTTTGAACCCACCACAGCATGCTTTTGTCACTACTGTATATGGACGATCAAATGTAAAATACTGTGGTAGCTACAGCACACAACGGCGCCGGTGGTGTAGTGGTAAGCGTGATTACCTCTCACTCCAGCAGGCCTGGGTTCAATCCCAGTCGGCGCCGCCGGGATGTTCTGAGGCATAACATCTCTGATCACGCCTTCCTTCGGATGGGAAGTAAAGCCGTTGGTCCCCGGTTCATGAGTTGATGGGTCGATAGGTAGGGTCCAGGTGTGGGAGCTGCCTTCCTGGCACGTCAGTAGCATTGGTGCTCAGCACGGAAAACAAGATCGACGGAAAAAACAAACCAAAGGAAAAAAAAAAAAAAAAAAGCTACAGCACAGCTCTGTCCACTTGTATACCTCATTTATACCGTATGCGTGATGCGTGGCCACAGGTCGTCCGAGTTCAGCTCGGGTTCCGAGGGTTATCGCTGCTATCAAAAGGAAGATTCGGGTGAATCCAGTGCGTTCATTAAGGAAAATGGCAAAGGAACACGGTATCAGTGACTTTACGGCACGGAAGATCGTAAAAGAAGATTGCGGGGCAAAGTCGAGGGCACGGGAAAAAATCACATGTTTACCAACCGCATCCGGGAGCTACGAGTCGAACGATGCAAGAAAATCTTGAACTTCTTTATGCGAAAAAATCCGGTAATCCTGTTCACCGACGAGAGCATGTTTACCGTCGATCTCGAATCAAATTCCAGAACCGACCGGTATATTAGTTCCCTTCCACAAGAAAGTGTATCTGACCAAGCATCCTGCTAGCGTTATGGTGTTAGGATTGGTGGCTTCCGATGGCAAAAAAATTGACCCGGTGTTCATTCCAGAAGGTCAACACGGAGGTCTACATCGGGATTTTAAGTAAGTATGTTCATCCGTGGATCAAAGAACAGTACGGTCCGCAGCCAAATTTTGTATTTCAACAAGATGGGGCTCTGTGCCACACCTCGAACCGCACTCAGAAGTGGTTGCAGGAACATCTTCCGTTCTGGGCGAAGGATATGTGGCCGCCATCAAGTCGCGATCTTAATCCGCTGGATTACTCAATATGGCACGTCCTGAAGGCCAAGGCCTGTTCTAAACGCCACCCGAGTACAGCAAGTCTCAGACAAACATTGACCCGTACCTGGAGAGAAATGGATCCAGACTACATTATTAGAACCTGCCGTGCATTCCGGAAGCGTGTGGAGGCCGTAATTGCAGAAGCGGAAACTCGATCGATGATTAACATAGTTTAAGACTCTGAGAAACATCCCTACTTTGAATAAATAACAAAAACTCGAAAACGAAATTTTTGCTTAATGGTGCAAACATTATCACGCATACGGTACTTTGTGCATCGGTGAGAGTAATATAATTGATGATGATGGTTTGAAGTTGATCAAGCGATCATAAAAAACGCATCAGTTTCACCATGGAACCATTGCAACTAGGATTATTAAATATAATAATAGCATAATAAAATTAACACGCAAAAAAAATTATTGATATCCTAGTGGTTTACCGGTTTATAATGCTGAAACCGAAGTCCATCATGCTCAAGGACGTTCTAGATTTGATTCAACAATCTCAACAAACTAATGTTTTAATGCGTTTTGTCAAACCTGTTTGATAGGGCGATAGTCGTAAACAACGTGAGCAAAAGTAATCGTGATATATTTTTTTTCCGCTATTCGATTCGTTCCAGCTCCCAGGAAAGAATTTCCTCGATGAATGATCGGATGAAAAATGAACGTGGACCAAACTTCAAGAGTAAGTAGAGTGCAAATAGGCTGCCTTAATACAATCATTGATTCTAAGAATAATAAACAAATTAATAATAACAGCAACTTAGTCATATTCGCAACTGTCACTCTTAGAATAATAAATTCAACATTACACCACTTTGTTGACAGACCTTAATCCCTTCCAAGTACTTTGAATTTTGTTGAGTGTTTTCTCGAGTATTTTTTATCTCTTTTTACGCCTCAATGATGAAACCGTAAAACCTTCATTCGCACCCTGTCGTCTACTGCGGCTTTTGTACTTTTCATGCCTCCGATTCCTTTCAACAACTTTCTTCACAAATCCTATCCTTCCCTTTTGGAAAAAAAATATACTCACCTACTCCCTTTTGAATCGTATTTGTTTGCACCATGTGTGAAAATACGCACGCACGCACACGACCGATCAGTTTGTACTTCCACATCTAATGAGTAATATAATTGCAACCGTTTCGTCTTTTGATCTGTTTTCCAGAAGACATTGAAACGGCAAACCCTTCATCGATGACACCGACGGCAACGGTGATGACAGGTCCCTCCATCTCCCCCAGTTCCGGTGGTAGCAACGGGGGAACGCCGACGACAAATGGTGGCTCCAGCGGTCTTGGTGGATCCAGTGCCTTCCAGTCATCGTTGGTTAGCTCTCCGGCCGCCGGTCTGTCCCCGTACGCCATAAGTCCTCACAACAATCCGACCATGCTAGCCCAACCGTACGGCACGGACGCCAGCGGATTTGGACCCATCTACCATCACCACCACCATCACCATCACGGTCACAGTCCACTGTCTACGCATCACGGGTCGTACGTAAGTTCGTTCGACAAGTACGACAAATATAAAATGGCCCCACCAACACCTCCACATCACTCGAGTCATCCGACGGTGGCTGCGGCATCGCCCTACGCTGGTCACTATCAGGGATTCTATGGTACTCCGAGTGGCGGGCACCATCAGCTGATGAGGCAAAACAATGGCTGCATAGACTATGTGCAAAGATAGGGGGCCAGTGCAATTTTGGATAAGGTTGTCATTGATTGTAAATTTTACAATAACCTACGTACCATCGTCACACACAAGAACTTGAGTGTGTACTAGTGTGTTAACAAAGAAATGTTTGTAGTTCGTGAACAAAACCAAAGCTTCAAGTGCCATAGATTGTAGACGTACTGTTTAATTTATTTTCTAATATTTATGTAATATAGTTTTATTAAGTACAATCAACCATACTTCGTGATTCCGAAATATTATTGAAATCCCTTTAATAGTGCATCATAAAAGTGTGTGCAATCACTGCTGCCACCATCTAGTTTGATTAATATCCCCTAAATAAGAGCCTGTGCAAAAAGTGGTTGAAAAGAAGATTGATTCAGATTTAGAAGTCGCGCAAAATGTTCGAAGTTACTGCGGGATGAGAATAGGGCAACGTTTCTCAATCTATGGGTCGTGACCAGGCATGGAAAATCATTTGCATTCATTTCGTGCATTCATTTACATTCATTTGCCTCTAACATTTTTCTTCAACAGAATTACGCAAAACGATGTATAGAGCTTTTGTAGGTTTTGTTAGCTACAACTTTTGTTAACAAGTCAAATCCGTTTCTCTTATGCATGACGAACCAGAGTGAACAGAAGTCACTACTGTTTTTCATTGAATGTATTTTACATTCACTGAAAAACAGCGGGCAGAATCGCTCTAGTTCGTGATGCATAAGAGATACAGATTTGAGTTAAAGCATAAATTGTAGCTAATAACAAAACCTACAAAAGCTCCATACATTATTTTGCGGAATGATGTTGATGAAAAAAGTTACAAGCAAATGAATGTAAATGAATGTATGAAATGAATGCAAATGATTTTCCATGCCTGGTCGTGACTCATGTCATATGCTGCCCTCAGGTTTTTCTGCAGATTAATATGGCTTGAAATTAATCATTTTGTTCGACCATTTTCTACAGAGATGGCGCTGTTGCGCTGGTAGGAAGTGATAAAAATCCCCATATAGCCATTGAGAGAGTGGGAATAATTCGCTTTCGGTGCATATTCAGGTCAAAAAAGTGAATGACAACCTAAAGAAAATAATCAGGGACTTTGTCGTTCAGTTTTTTCCCGGAAATTATTGTTAAACAAGCTACAATTAAATAAAAATGATTTTTCCCCATACAGTTTTTCCTGCTTTACTACCAGTTCCCAGAGAGCCAAAAATTCAAATTTGGGAGAGAAATTTGCTCTCACAACCTCAATCTCTCAACAAGCCATGTATTTTGTTGACACTCGATTTGTGATTTCCCTTTCAAAGATTATAAAATAGAGTACCTGACACCAGTGTTGCCACATTTTCATCTGTACTGGGAGTTGCAAAAATCTTTTTCATCTGTACTATTTCTGAAAAAATCTGGACCATTATTTTTTTTAATTAAACTAATCTCGCATCACTTTCAAAAGGTCCTAAATAACAAATGTAAACAAATCGAGTTAAACGATACAAACTATTGCTCTTCTATCATTGTATGTGATACAAAAACATCCATCCAATTTTACTTTCATTTATTTAAGATAATCATTGATCAAAAGTTGTCCAATGTACAGTTTGAAATGATGGGTAAATGATTGTTACTTCGGTCATTCGGACTGCCCAACATGATTGGTGCTCATTTTCCAAAGGCGGGGCCAATCTAAAGTTAAGTACTATACTCTGATATCTGTGAAAGGGAATCTAGTATCATGTAGACAACACGTCCAATGTAACACTCATTGATTATGTCATTGAGAAAAATCGTCCAATATAACATGTCCGATGTAGAACTCGACTTGTCAAAACGTCCTATGTGGTTTTTTCTATGTTGTAGCATGAAATTGAAAGTAAAATTTTGATTTTACCGTTTTTTTCTGAATTTTCAACGTTATTATACACTGACTACATTAAAAATAGTATTGCAAAATGTACTGTTTTTAAACAGTTAAATTAATAATCTGTCAAACTTCAACTTCGATTTTCTCAAAATGGTGGATATGTTACATTGGTCTATTTGAAAAGTGAAGCGAGAAATCCACTTTATTTATTTCAAATATTGTAACAAAGGCTTTAAATGACGCGTTAGTTCTCATTTCTGTGATGTTTATACATTGTCTTTGAACCAAATTCGAACTGCCATCCCGCCGATTGATCAAATTTTTAGAATTCAGGATTCGGTTGATTGTTTCGTTGCTAAGCCGATTTCGAAGTTTTGTTTTATTATTGTTATATTGGGGAAAAAAATTCGCTCTACTGTTGCTGAGGAGTGAGGCATTATAAGAATATTATACACAAGACGTGAAAATGCTGGAAATGCATGAGAACCGTCTATTCTTTTCAAACCTGCGATGTTTGTCCACCAAACATGTGCGGTTTCTTCAACTATCATTTCTTTGCAAAGCAACTTAATTTTTAAGGCATGGAATTCGTTTTGCAACTCTTGCAAATCTCAATCATATAAACCTGGAAACGCGTCCAGTGCCATAATGATTCCTTTCAAATTGGAAAAGTTTCTAGAATGCAACATTGCAACAGCCTTAAGGATCGGGTCACATCTGCTTAACCAACTCCACGAAGAAACTGCGACAGCTGTCCCTGGAAATGTGTTGCTTTTCTCCGTCCATTGATTTAATTGCTTCTTCAGCTGCAAACCCAATATAAACAATTTTTCCACTTTTCAGATGTTTTTCAAAATTGACAGCATTTGCCCAGGATATTATTTGTAAATAAGTTTCATCGCAGACATTAGTAAGAATCGTCCGATAAAAGTCTTTCAGTTCTTCATGCAGCATCGTGAATTCGGGCTTTTTAGACAGGAACATGCTAAAGGGTGATACGGTCAAAATTTGGTCAATATCAACTATTTCTTTCAATTTTGCATTTAAAAAACCTGGTGTGTGTGTGTGTAGAATGTTGCTCCTATTTTGATTTTGGAATTCACTCTTCAGTTGTCAAAATGCCGTCCAAGCAAGAAGAGCAGCGTATCAAAATGTTGCTCGCGCATCGCGAAAATCCGAGCTACTAGCACGCAAAGTTGGCAAAATCGCTAAAAGTTGCCAAATCAACCGTTACAAATGTAATTAAAGTGTTTGGGGAACGTTTGTCGACAGCCAGGAAGTCTGGATCGGGGGGAAATCGAAAACCGGAAGCCGCTGAGACGACAAAGAGAGTTGCCGGTAGTTTCAAGCGAAACCCTAACCTCTCTCTCCGAGATGCCGCAAATAAGCTGGGTGTATCGTCTACAACCGTGCATCGAGCCAAAAAACGAGCCGGACTATCGATTTACAAGAAGGTAGTGACTCCAAATCGCGATGATAAACAAAATACGACGGCCAAAGCGCGATCCCGGAGGCTGTACACGACGATGCTGACGAAGTTTGACTGCGTGGTAATGGACGACGAAACCTACGTCAAAGCCGACTACAAGCAGCTTCCGGGACAGGAGTTTTATACGGCAAAAGGAAGGGGAAAGGTAGCAGATGTTTTCAAGCACATGAAACTGTCAAAGTTCGCAAAGAAATATCTGGTTTGGCAAGCCATCTGTACCTGTGGCTTGAAAAGCAGCATTTTCATAGCTTCCGGGACTGTCAACCAAGAAATTTACGTGAAAGAGTGTTTGAATAAACGTCTGCTGCCTTTCCTGAAGAAACACGGTTGTTCCGTACTGTTTTGGCCGGATTTGGCATCTTGCCATTACGGTAAAAAGGCCATGGAGTGGTACGCCGCCAACAACGTGCAGGTGGTTCCCAAGGACAAGAACCCTCCCAACACGCCAGAGCTCCGCCCAATTGAGAAATACTGGGCTATTGTCAAGCGGAACCTAAAGAAGACCAAAAAACTGCTAAGGGCGAGCAGCAGTTCAAGGCAAACTGGCTTTCTGCGGCGAAGAAGGTGGACAAGGTGGCTGTACAAAATCTGATGGCAGGGGTCAAGCGTAAGGCCCGGCAATTCGGATTTGGAAAAGCGGAAGCCTAACTGAATATTTTTCCTGAATTTTATACTAATTGAACTTGAAAAAGAAATTTAATTTGATTTTTTAAATAAACGATTTCACCGATTTACACACGTTTTCCCTTGACCAAATTTTGACCGTATCACCCTTTATTCAGTCTATTAATCTGGGGCGAAATATACTCCAAACAGAGCAACAGATTCTCTGAGTCAAATAAATTCATTCGTTCAGTTGGTATGATCATAGAGGTATTATCGTTTCAGTTGAAAACCGGAAAATCCCACAAGCGCCAATTGAATTTACTCTCGTTCTGTACGTTAAACATAACGTCGGACATAGTGCGCTGTATTCGCACAATGATGCGCTATTCAGCGCACTATGTCCGACGTTATGTTTAACGTGCAGAACGAGGGTAAAATCGAATGTCGCGTGTGGGTTTTCCGGTGTCCAACTTGAACGACAATAACTCTAAGACCACTGGGTCCCGAAGAAAATCATTATTATTTTTGGCTCACTCAGTACCAGAACAACGGTCCCAAGCAGTCCCAAGCTATTTCACTCACCCCTGCATGTTCTGCATGAATCCACACACCCCTGATGTTATCTGTCAAACTTTCATAGCGAATCAAAACAAACATAGTGTAGTAATAGAATTTCAACTAGAATAGGGTACGTTAATCGTTTGCTTGGGACCAATAGGCTACTAAAGTGGTGAGCCAATTTAAAATCGTTAGTTTCGTATTGATTGTTGGTATGATTGTCCGTGTTGTTCATTCATACACAGGGTGCACCAAGAGGTGCATCTCAAGTGGCTTCTAAAGGAGGGACTTCGTTTTGCACTGCAGTGTCCTCTGTGAACAATTATAGGAAAACACATTGTGTCTAGTTTCCGATAGATGTCACCGCAAACAACAGCTGTGACATCTGATGGAACATGAATGCAGAAGCTTGACAAAATGATCAATTATCAAGTTTACGCAAATTTAAACCTCTTAACAAAATCATTAAGGAGTTTCAAATCGGTTCAACCATCG